GGTGTTTCACAGAGTGGTCAATGTGGGAATCACGGACCTTTTCTCCCTCTGACCTCCGAACATACTGACTTCTCTGACCATGAACATAGAAATGGCTTTCATCGCTGAATAGGACTTTTCTCCAATCTTCTTTTGTCCAGTTTTTGTATTTTAGTCCCCATTTGTAACGCTTAACTTTCATTACTTTTGTCAGAAGTTGTTTTTTCACGGGACGTATGGCTTTCCGACCAACTTCCAGGAGTCGCCTGCGAACCGTTGCAGAACTGATTTCTATTCCTTTCTCCTCCAAATCACGTTTTAATGCGTCACTAGTCTTTCGAGGATCTTTAACACTTTCCCGTATTAGGTAAGCGTCATCCCTGGCAGGGGTTTTCCTCTTAGGACCACATTTCCCTTTGCGTTTTGGCGAAATGCATCCCGTTTCCTTTTTCTTTTTGACCACACGGCTGACGGTTGCCGGACTGACGCCTACTATTCTTGCTATGTCCCTGTAGGTCTTGTCTGTGTGTTCGTGCAAGGTCACGATCTTCATGCGCCTTCTGGGAGTCACGTCCATCTCAAACAATGACTGAATCACAAAAAACAAGAAGTTGAAACAAAAACCTTACTAACCATAAAATGTATGACGCAATCTTGGGTGATGTAACGATTAGACATGCGCAGTTACTACATCGTCTGATTCACAAACAATGATGAAATATCTATTCCCAAAATAAAATAACAAAAATAAATGCAAAACGACAGCTTTCATGTATAAAAACATGATATTCATAGAAAAAGAGACACAACAGTAGTTTGTTTCAATTAATGTGCACAAGGATGTAGTTGTCCTAATTGCACGCGACAACGACAGCCCCGAGAAGCAAAGGACACCTAACACCAGGGCAAACAGACATACGCGCGAAAACAGTCTGCAACTACTGGTTAAATAGGTTACGAGTGTAATTTATATTTCCCAGTATTAGGAGAAAGCAAAAGGCAAATTTGAAAAGATGGCAATGCCAGGTTATAAAACATGCTTAACGTGTTTAATATGCGCCTCGATTTTGCTGTACCCTTATACCTAGCCTCTGAAACACGGAATCTGATTTGTATGTTATATAACTAGTTTTTATGCGCTCTTTTTTTATAAACACTACCAATATGCGTTGCTGACTCACTGTGTATTGGTCACCACTGTAATTTTTAAGAAACCTGGCAGGCGCATGCAATGGTTCAATTGTTCTAATGCTTTTGATGCTTCAACGTGGCCAACATGGAATCCTACAAACATTCCTTGTTTCGGTCTTGCTGTTTTATGTTAACAACAGATTTGCTGTGCAGGATTTGTTTATTGAAATCACGTAGCTTTGCCCCATCTGTGCAAATTCGTATGGGTATTGCAAGAACGCATGAACTATGTTAACGTCCATAACATTTGAATGAACTAGAGAATGATTCACGTGAAATTAATGAAGTTGGGTCATTCGCCTTCATTGTCAACTGGAGTTCTTATCTTAAGTTTCCAAACCGTAGGATCGTACTTCTTGTTGTGCTGTAAGAATTGCGTCAAAGCTTTCTCAAGTCCTTAGCTGCCTTAAATACATCTTTGTGCGAATATTACTGTACAGCTGAGCGCAGGGAAGTTCAGCTGTAGTGAAACGCAGCTCCACATGGATCCACCAAGACCATCCGATTACACTGGCTCGGTCGGTCTACCAATTCCGCTGCTAAATATATAAAATCCCTGCAATATCATTTAAGATCGTAAGCAATTTCACCACATCTATGTAGTCAAGAATGCTTTCCAGTAGAAAGAAACTTGCGCTAAGTAGATCCAGGTACAAAATTGGGCAAAAATCTTCGATCAGAAGCTACCGCCGGGTTAGTCACATTCCTGTTTTTATTGCGCTTATAGCCAAGTATCATATAATATCTTAAAACCTGTTAACCAGACGCATCAAGAAGTGCTACAAAATGTATCATGTCAAAAATATCATAGGGAATCTCTGCGTTGTTTAACGAACACTATGGATACGGCCAAATAGCCAATACCAATTACATCGAGATGTAAAATGCATTCCATAGGTTACCTCATGGCTCTAGTCTAACAAAATGTTACTGAATCCCACCATAGATCCATTATTTGTCTGGTTATATCATACTTTACGTATCGCTCCCAAAATGTTGTATTATGGATCCACAAGTCATCTTCGCTGCCAGTTATTAGTGATGTGAAGCAATGAAGCGTCCTTGGTCCGCTGCTCTTTTTTATTACATCAATGTCACAACAGACGCCATTAAAACAACGATATTGTGCATTTTTTACCTATGATAGTTAGGTAGGTACTCCTAACTATCAGTCCTAGGATTCTGTGATACGGAGTGTCTAACTGTCTGACGAAAGATGGTATGAAAGCCGTGCAAGCATCGTTCGCTGAGGATAAATGTGGAATATTATCTTACCGACGCAATTATGATATACACCTTGCGGAATGAATGTTCACCATTTCGGGAGTCATCAGCTGCGCGCATATCACCCTACACCGCCTTCCAGGAAAGGACTAGGTTTGAAGTTGCCCAAAAGCCCCACTGCCCATTGAACATTATGTGTGCGCAACCCGCTTGGTTAATCGGCAGACAAATATATAATACCATAGTCACCGGACAGAACCCAAGTCAACATTTAAGATAGTGTCCTATTACTCCAATGATGGCTTCTTTCGTTTTACTGGAGAATCCAAATGGACATGAGGTAACCAGTCCTGCACGTTCGGCTTTGGGCTGACATAGAAGTATGCGTTGCTCTTTCGTCTTTTTCTTTACTTCAGTTGTGTTTAGTCTCACATACTGCTAGGCGTATCGTTAAGTAAAAGGATAGATGCGTAGTAGTTAATGTGCATAAGAACAAGACGACAATACTATTACGCACTCAACCAGCGGCTTTCAGTCTTTTTTGAGCCATTAAAAAGGTTCAAACATGGAATATATGACCTACGGTTGGCACCAGCACGAAATAATTATGTAGGAGGCAATTTGGTATTGCCAGCCCCAAGACACTGCACAGCATGATGCTCTTCGACGTGATTTCATCTCATCCGATATAGATAGCAGGCTTCGACCCCGGGACCATTGGGATGGTAGTTGTGACCGCTACTCCTATGTCGAAAGCTCTCGACGGTCATCGCTTGGCACAACAGTTAATGACTGATTTGTGGGTCGCGTTATAGCACACGGTGTATGGATGGACTGCGGCGCGTAGTCTCAAAGTGGATCGCTATTCAATTCAATGGGAATAACGGTTCACTTTGAGATTGCGCTTCGCTATCCGTCCACACAATGTGTACTGCAAAGTGAACCAATCAACAAACACATATGTGCTTTAAAGACACAAACTGACAACCAGGCAACTATATTTGCTTTAACGCGATGTTCAGAAACACTACATTGGGGTATGTGATAATAATGCGCTGCGCGGCTTCCGGGAGGAGATAAAACAGCGGATTGCCTGATCGCATATGAATCAGGGTTGAGCAACCAGTCTACACCGACAAATCCCTCCTATCAAAGCAGTTCCGGGCACAGTTATCTTGCTGCACTTACTCTTTTCAACCGGGTATGAGTATTACTTAATCAGTGCCAAAAATCGTTTACGTATCTCACCAAATAAAACCTCAATTTTTAAACCGATTGGTAGTTTTACTGTACGCAAGATCGTTGCAGCAACTTTACTTAAGTAAATGAGTAGGGCATGGAAACACTTCCAAAAAAGGTTTAATAATATTCGCTGCTTGAGCAATTAGCAATTAGGTTAATGTGGCTGAGGTAAACGCGATGCGGTGGCCTGTTTTATTCCGCACTATCCCTTGCTTTTGCGAATACGCATCAATTTCCGTTAGAAAAAGGCACCGGGCTTTATCCACGGTCATACATGCGCAAAAGAAAGGGCTGGAGAACAGAAAAGTCCCAGAAGTAATTTATCCTAGCTTGAGTACAAAAGTGCCGGGGCCGATGACGGTTTAACCCGAAAGAAAGCCTTAAATGACCACTAACTAATTTTACGTATAACCTTGCGCTTACTGATATGCCTAGAGATCAAACTAACCAACAAAACATCCCACTAAAGGCTACTCTGTGAATTCTATGAGTATTGCTAACGGCGTGTGTGGTTGCATAGCGAGCGGTCCTACTATGCAAATTCAACACTCACTTGCAGAGAACAGTGGCAGTTTGTCAGCGGTATATTTGTCACAGCGTTTTATAAACGGAAGAGTATTTGCCGCAGTGACTCGATAGCACGGTTACCTGTTTCTGACACAGCACGACCTTCTACACAAAGGAGGCATCAGTAACTAAATATGGAGGCAGATAAAATCCAAGCCAGTTGAGACATATCACACTTAAAACTTTCTGAGACAAATATGCTTTATGAGTTGAGACGAACATGATATAGTAGTCTGCCTTACTGAGAAGATTTCTACCCAGTGAACTTTTCATGGGAGAGTTTAGGTCTAAGAGTGTAAAGGAGACACCCCTTTTTCTTTCAGCTTTACTGCACTAAAGCCACCATCTTAGCGTTAAATTGGCACTCAGAGTAATTACTCTACCAGTTTCATTTTGAATCTTTTGCGGCAACCTGAAACACAACTCTGCAGAAACCGCAATTCACTGATCATGCAAGTTAAGGGATGCATCGCCATCAAGCTCCCATTCGCAGCTTGTATTAAAGAGACTAAGCAAGATGAAGATAATCTGAAAAGTAACTGTTCCATTTCGTAGCCTCAAAATTGGCGTTCATATCTCATTGCATCTTTAACGCTTCTTATTCATTTCGATGATACGTAAGCCATTGCTGATACTGAGATTTATAAATAACCCTCACGAGTATCCTAGCCAAGTATACGCACAACTGTTGAAATTCATACACTGCTAGGACTTGCTGACACAGATGATCATGCTTGATAATTTGTCTATGTTTTTTCCTTGGCATAGATTTTACCGATTTATATTTTCCATGACAGTCTTTGCCACCGCAACTGGCCGTACCGCTGATTCAGTCATCCAGACGACTTGGGTTGGCGGCGACCATCACGCATCAAGACCTCACTCTAGGAAACTGTCGCTACACTGGAGCTGGAAAGTGAGTTATAATGAAAGATCATGTGATGCGAGTGTAGTAGGTAACAGGTTAGAAAAATGGTTCTCAAATACTGATCGCACAATATTTTCTGTGCCGATATCTCGGTATGATAAAACGGCATCATTTTCATAGATTACTAGGGTGGACGTCAACTAAGTACCCATTTATCGTACACAATGAAATGATACGGATGCCTAATGAACTCACGGAAAATATATGAAATAACTTGAGTTGTCCGCTAAACCATAACTGTTTCCTTCTCTTCACCGAACTTTCGGGGATACCAAGATCTTATCAAATTATACCGCCGATTTATATTGCTTACGATTTTTAAGTTAGCCTTTCCGGCCTAGTATACTTATAAGTACAAACGACTTCTAGACTGACGGTGCTATTATTGAAACCCTTATTGTCTTATCATTCAGACTAAGCTGACCACTTGCACACGCTCAGAAAGTTACTATGGTCAAAAGCAGTCATGCCGATAACGCCAGAATGTAGAGTGATAGAAACATACGTCTCTCACCCAGTTCACAATCGGTTCCAATTCCAGAAGGCTAAGTTTCCCTGACGTATTCCAAAAAGAACCCAACTAGTGATGTATGGTTGGATTACGAATCCTTCGTTTATAAGCCTACATCTACCATTTGGACGTGCAGATAGTGACTGAAATCACATGGATTATCGGATGTCTATAACAGGAAATCTATACATATGTATTCAAGTTGAATCCACTCAGTGTTGCATCAATTCGCCATTCACAGCCTTTTAACTTACACTAGTTTGCATCAACTGGAGTCGATTGAGTGAAACCACTCTGAGTTTAACGTAACCAGTAGATGTTGCACATTCACGTTAATAGTGGTAACTATCCTGTTGTCAGACAAACTTCTCTAACGACATTACCATAGTTGTCAACTTTCTGTCGTCAGCCTCCCGGAATGCATTCACATACCTTCAAATCATGCCAGCTGGAAGCCATTCATAGAGGCAAGCGGCCTCACTGAGATCGCCTCAGCCCCTGCTCCAAAAGTAAGTATATGTGTCCTGTTACCTTCATCTGAGTTGGTTTATGGTATACACCGATATGAATTACACAGAGACATTTACATACTCGTCAAGTTGTCGTCCAAACCTTGAAAGCTATAGGAAAGTTGCGTTATAACAGAAGTTGACTTTGTATGAAAAATTTACACAAGCCCTGATCATCTATTGCTTAAATAAATTGGGATACTAAGCTTCGAAGTTAGTACAACGTAGGGGATCAGGGTAACTTTTGCTTCTATATTTCGAACACTTTGAGCACGAGATATATTTGACAGATATCAGCACATTAGGCGCATAGATGTGTTCGGCGACTAGAATGTACTAACTAATGTCTGCGAGGAATTCCCTATCTATATACTGCTGCCCATTCAGGTGATTTGCAATACTTTAATGAAATTGAAGAAGTCACACACACGCATTTGGCAAGCTGCATGAGGCATCTACCGGCCAGTGCTTGCTTATTCCCCCGTGAAATCATGAGAATGAGTTCAATAAATGTCTACTTCATACGTAATCACTCGTTCATTTTATTTAAACCCTTCTGGCTAAGATGGAATATTTCTCCACTGTAATCCCTTTTTAATAGGCATATAACATTTGTCATAGTGAATCTTCATTTGTAACCTCATGCGGATAAAGTGCATTACTGGGAACGGCGTATACCGCTTGTGACCCACAGGTCGAAAAATCAAGCAGTATGACACTGCTGAATGCAAATGCTCCTGCAGGAGAGACAACCGAAAAACTGGAACGAGTGAGGGTTGGATGTGGGGAATCCGATCTAACTGCATTTTTAATCCTATATATGTAATACACTTCGGTTGGCCATTTAATAACCATTAGTTTTTGCTTAACAATATTCATGTGTTAAGACCACTATAACGGAATCGTTACGTAACTAGGTTTAGCGTTTTGCTGGCCAGGAAAAGTGAAATTACCCAAGAATAGAGTCGGGACCTCAACACACACCAGCACCTGGTGAAGCGCTGTTTCAAAAATTGTGAAAGGTAACAGCCGGAATGTAAGGCATGTCGTGCTCAACAGTAAACAGATGCTCGTCCATACTTAACGATCAAAATGTTGCTTTCAAGACAACGGAAGAGAGAAACATAAACAGCACTTGGGTCTAATAGTGTTAACTTTGGCGTGGGGTCCAAGAAGTGTTAAACTGAGTAAAATCCGTCAGAGTCTTAAGTGTCTTTAAGTAGATGATTATGTTCCACTATTGAATTTACCGCTGTGTTTGGTCCAAAGTCAGTTCTCTTTCAGTTATTATATTATAACGTCCAATGGCTTTAGTTCAAAAACGTTCGAAAAATAGTTGAAGTCATTAAAACATCACTTTAATCCGCTAGTAAACAGTACTATTTACTTAGGATGTGGCTTCAAAACAGCACTTAGTTTGTTACTACATGGAATCGTCTCCCATATTCAAGTACTGTGAATGATCGGTACCATCGTTTGTTTGTGTAACTGTAGCAGGTCAAAATACATATGTTTTCCAGACAGAAACTTGTTTTAATGTTTCTTTATTTAACGAGCAATCGTAAGTCGGATGTTGAAGTTGTGTATACGAGATGGCTCGAAGTGCGTAGCCACGTTTCATTCAAGACACCCAAACATGCAGCAGGCAGTTATCACCAGTCAATAACTTGTCCAACTGTGCAAACGCGATCGTTGGGGAAAAAAATCGCTGGTTCCCTGTTATACCAAAATACATCCAAAAATGCTACCAAGAGTTTATGTGACTTAATTTCTTCGACAAAATATGTGCAAAGCTAAAATGTCGAATAAGAAGGAATTGGGCAGCCAGGCGTTGATTCAGAGCGCGTCTCTAACCCAAATTTGCGTAGCAGTAAACCTGCAAAATCTATCCAATCCTTTCGTATTCCTTAACTAGGGAGTCGGTGTGCTCAGGTTTCCATTAGCAAAATCGTCACACTGGATACTAGAAACACGAGTGTGATCCCATAGAAATACCGCCAATGATTGCGTGGGCTTTCCAACTTATTATAGCATAAACCATTTCCAGGACATATTTAAGAATAATATATAACTAATACCATTCACTTCAAATTAGACTAAAATGACTAGTGATGCTGTTTCATAGCATTCATGCTGCCACATAACTCCCATTTTGCAATCTCTACTCGTGGCGAATACATTAATGCGTGGGTGTCGGAACGACTGGGCATCCTCACGGTGGATTTAAATTCGTGCCAAATTAATTATGCCATACTGTGTTAAAGATTCGAGGAGGGCACACGAATAGTGTGTAGTTTATACTGTATAGTCCACCAAACACGTTGGTGATGCAACACACTGCAGTCAGTTAAAACTGTAGCAACCTCCTGACCGATGACTTTTTGTTATTTCAGCTAATGTTGAGTGCAATTGGTTCACAAAATTCACTTGACTGTGACCACATCAGCGACTGCCTACTTCAGCTTTGTGATGTACTACAAGAAATGACAGTAACCTTCAAAAACTTTTACAGTGAGTCTACTTGAAAGGGTGAAATCAAAATGGTTTAATGCTAGCACCTATTTAGCTTACCAACACAGGTACTAACCGGGGTTTTAGCGGACTAAAGATATAGTAATATTTCATATAATTCCCAATCTGCCTCCTGTTGCTATATCAGTGAGAGTGGTAAGTGGTTATAGATTTGCCGTATCTGTCTGACTAATGGCCAGTACTACTCTAGATAGTCAAGAAGATGACTCGAAAAAGAAGGACAAATACTTTGACACAAGATGGTTCCGTGTAATGGCTAAGCATGCAACCCCAGTACAACGCGCGTTAGCTTGCAAAGATGTTGGTTAGCGCGAAAGTAACGATGTCGGGATGCTAACCGTAGACGAGGTCAGTATTGGCGGAATATCCTTATGGCTTGAAAAAACAAGTGGTTCGATAGAAAATGTGCACTTCAGCCCGTCTGCTGGGAATGTCGACTTGACTGCAGCTGTAAGACTTTTGGTTAGGTGCTCGGCAGCGGCAGCTTCTTTAAAAGATAATCTTATAAACAACTTCTTCGTCACGGTTACAACTGGTATCGGATTGGGTTTTTCTCCAACATTCCTTGTAAGAAGTCTATCAGGCTAGCTATTCTCGCGCAGAGGATTTATTCTAAAGGCTAGTTCCCCATCCAGGGTGTCCTGTGGGCAAAATTCATGTGCTGTTGTGGCAACGCAATTGATTACTTTTCGGAGTTAATCATGTTTCCTTTTTTGAAGGGGATTTGCGACCAGAAGGCTTCTATCTGGATGTCCGCCCGCTTCTCGCAAAGTAAGTCACTTAACCGCAATTAGTGCAAAACTTTTACCAAAATATGAGAGCACACAGACTGTCTATTTATGTACTGCTTTTATTCCGGTTTTATAGCTGTAGTTCACAAGATGAACAAATGTTGCGCTAATAATTAAATGTATATTTGAAATGATCAGCGGTTAGTATATTGCAAGGTGTTGTAATGGTAAATCTGCCAAACCGACAGTCGAACATGTTAGAGTACGCAGCAACTGGAGTTTACTCCAGTACCAAACTTGAACCAGACAACAGTTGATTTACACTGTACGGACAGCGCAAGTTATAGCGCGATCAATCATAAGTATTAATTTCAAATCAACACTAGTCTGTTTATCGATGTCTTTCCGGTGCTTTGCAATCCGACAGGTGGGAATCAGCTGGGTCTGAGCTTGACTTCAGACTTTTGTGGCGTTCGGGGCATACGATCGCTTGACACCGATTTGCAAGCTCTTTTGGTCTGCGAATGCGAAAAGATACTCTTCTACCAAGAGTATTGGCGAACTTAGTCACAAACTCTGAACTAAAAACTGTAAAATGTTTGCAAAATGAAGCTTCACCATATAACATTGCCTCCATAGAACATTGTATTCGCACAGATATTGATATGATTATTGTAGAATTGGCATACTACACTTCCAAAAATACCAGGTCATTTGAGCATTCAGTAAAACAAAAAGCAGGCTAGAACTTATTGGTGAAAAATATCCGACTAGCAAGTGGGTAAGGTATTCCCTATCTTATTCCAGAATTAAGATTACGTACCTACATCATCAAGTTTGCAATGTCCACTACTTTATAACACTTAAATAGTTATATCTCTTGTCTTCGGTAAAGCCTCAAGGATCTTGACCTCCTACTTCCGTTATGTAACTTACGCTCCAATCCAAAAGTTTACTTAGTCTGACAAACCACTTTTCTGTTTGGGGAAGTCTTTATCTTCTATCCACGCGTTCATCGACCCTTCCAAGTCAACCAGGCTGAGCAGAAAAATAGTTAATATATTAACTTAATTGGATTAAATAATGTTTTGGATCTCAAGGTGGGAAACCTGCACTAGGCACAAAAGAAGCATGCAGAAAGGTTAAACCTTTTTAGTCCTTGTGAAGTTTATCTCGAAATAACACTGTTGACTTCTATGGGCAGATACACTATAATCTAATATTGACGCCTGTACAATTAGCGGTATCGTTTAATTACACTTCTTTTTACGAACACGATTCTCCCTTACTATGGGAAACATACCCTGCATATAATCTTTTAAGACGTATGAATTTGCTGTACCGTGTGAAACCACTTATACAGAGTAATTTCCTATGCATCATGATTCCGGCAATTGAAGCTTTTATTAACGGTCCCCATGCTTAGGCCTCCAAGTGTAAAAGTATCGATTTTGAGTTAAGCGCTAAAGTCTATGGCATGTTTCACAAAGCAATTTCGAAGCCGTCTTGCTTGCACTACGCTTCACAAACAGTGCATTTTCAAGGATGTTAAGGAACAATCTGGTATCCACCTCCAGCAAGGCACTTGCACCAAGCTTCCGAAGGCTTACCAACGCTGCACTTACGCTGCTGAAGCAATCGATCAAGCTAGAAGTTGTACCCATCGCGTGCGCACGCAGATGGACCCCGACAACTCGCAACCCGCACCTAACATCGTGGTAAGTTTTGTAGCCCGGAAGACGCACAGTTTCCTTCTGATTAGGAAGGTGCAAGCTGTCAGGAAACATGTTCCGACTGGGTGGTGTGATCGCAAAAGCCTAATGCGGTAAAGTCGTTAAGATGGGTCCAACGTGCTCAGAAGGTATTATGGAGTTTCGCTACAAATGTGCAACTGTCATCATCTGAAGCGGCGGAGGCACATCAACGTAACCAACGCCATCTGGTTTTCTATAACATGTCGAATCATTTCAGTTGCCAGCTGTTTATTTGTGAACAAGAGGCACAGCGAGTTTCCTAAGGTGCTGGTGTATTTGGTGAACACTAATATTTCAACCTTAGAATCGGACATGGTTATTTTCGTGTTTTACAAATCTACTTCCTGCTCTTCACATAGGACAAAGAACAGAGCCAAATGCTCCAACTACGCAACATGTGTGTCCCTAGGTTTTTTACCAGCCTCAAACCCCTAAGTAAACAGGCATCAAGTGGTCGATTTTCCGCTTTCTTCAGAGGCACAGCAAATTGTTTCGTTGGTGGTTATGACTTCGTCCAGTCAATGCCAGTCCACCTTTGAGAAAACAGGGCATCTTACGTATAGGTTTGTCACATGCAAATGTTAGTGAGGGTATCTGTGACAGCGGTTGCAGCAGTATAAAACTGGGTTGGCGCGACTTTCACAGCCCACTCAGCAGCTAGAAGCAGTAACCTTTTCTGACCTCAAACTAATGATCGCAAGAAAAGCTGGCTGAGCTGAAATTGTCGTGTGCACTATTATGACTTGCTTACACACCAGCTCGCAATGGCTTGTTATCAAGTCTGCCGAATCCAGGCGTCGTCACTCCTCTGGGCAGCGAAGCAACCTAGTGTTTCTCGGGTGTCAATGATATGTTGGAGACCATTTTGCGATCACTCAGAGAGACGTCACTTACGCGAAAAGATAAAAGAGAAAAGGGCAGTGCGTAATTGTTGATTGCATAGGAACAATTTAACATAGTCCACAAGAAGTTCCACAAACCTGCCTGTGACTGCTTTGCTGCCGTGTCAAGTATGCAGTTGAGTATTCATCATGAACACATGCGCTCACAAGATTGGTTGACAATGACTTTGTTTTGCCTTCATTATTTATTTAGGTTTCCGTTTCGGCATTTCTAGCCAAGGTAGATTTGGAAGCTTTCATTAAGCGGTTCCATACTACGCCTGCGCGTTCTCTTCGCTCTATCGGCTACGGGCCATAATTAACGCACCGTTTATGGCTGATGAACAAGAACACGCCTGGTGTCTGCTGTTTTGCGATCTCTACCACCCACTTCTGAATCAGAACACAAATGGTGTACGTGTTGCCTAGTTGCTGCATTGAAATTACGGTTATTTGGTCGTTATATGAAGATTATAATATCCTGGCCATTGAAAAGCCAACAGCTTAAAGTGCATAGCTTAAATCGTACACGCAGGAGCAAATATGTAGCAAAATATAATACAACAACTCTTTTAAGGCACAGGTCTGAGAATAAAATCAGCGAGAAGCCTGTGATTAATGGCATAGGATGGCTCGCTTCATTGGGTCCTAGGGATCAAGTGACACTACTGATTAATTACATTTGTTACGCGAAGTATTCTGATGAAGAACCAGAGCGATCGCATATCGTTACACATTAGGATGCGTTGTCCGCATTGCTTGTACTAGGAGATTTGCGTTTCCGTCCTAGTGAGCCACAGGGACAATCTAATAGTGTACTGACCTAACTGTCAACATCGTGGTGGCAGAGGCACCATCCACAAATGCTACACACCCTATCAGGCCGACGACATTTTAATAAGAAGAACCTAAACTTTCAGAACCATGAGGAATATTTCAGGGTGATTCAGATAATTAGTGCTGTATTTAACTCAACTGCTTAGCTTTCCGTACACGACGCCGATACGCTTACGTCTACCAGACTGTAGACCATCTCTCAATGGTACTACACTTATGGGCCGGTTTCGGAGGATCTTAATCCATCAGCCGTGGTTTAGGCACAAAATTATGGTAACCAGTATGTTGGTCGCTTGCAAAGTGTAGTATGCAATTTATAATTATACGTTCTCACCCTAGTGCTCTATGCTTACATGCATCGCCATATCAGATCCGATGTTTAAAATTGGGTAGCATGGCTAAAGCGTGATCTGAAAGTTCTGGAGATCCCATGACTTCAAGCGATGATGATTGTCAGGCTTTTGCTTCATTTGCTAAATCCGCAACAAATAAAGAAGCTCTGGGTGTATAATGGATGCCAACCCCATGTTGGTGGAGACGTCTTAATAACATCCCAAATACTAAGCGATCCAAATCACCTAGCTACCAACGTTTGAGGTGTTTGGGATTGTGTACGATAGCCAAACAAACGGCTTAAAAGGCCTCCAGTGACGCAGAGATCGCTTTATTTTGCAGCTGCTTTATCTTCCTATTGTCCATACATATTATTCGACCTATGCAAAAGTATGTCTTAAATAATTGTTACAAGAAGTTATTAATGTTATTGAGATAGGAAGTTTTCTTTTAAATTTGCAGCCTTCTGGCGTTTACACAGGACCTAACTGCAGCCGATAAGCTGTTGCATAGTATGCCATGTGATTAGGTGGAAGTTGAAATATCTAGTTGTGCTGCACAACTAACATTCAGCTTTTGTTCTAATGTCTCCTCGTGCAATCGGATTTCAATTCTAATATAGAAAGACTATTTCCTGCAGCAGCGTTGGGCTATACGTCATCCGTCACAAGAAATAGATTGAAGTGTGTTAACTTCAAGGCATGGTCTTAATATTCAAAGCAGGGGCTTGACTGAACTGGAATTCGATGAGGGACCGGTGTGAGTTTTCCAGCACATGCTGCAATAAATGACGCGTTCAAAAATAGATGTGTATGAATGTTAAAAACGCTATTTTGGAAGAGATCATGTGTATACCAATACATTTCAGCCGCAGAAAATCTGGCATCCGCCATCTGATATGTGGCCTGCTCAGAGAGCTGACATCGAAAGCATATCCGATTCCAAATTTGTTACTGTTGTGACCGTGAAAGCAGGACAGCAACTCAGTAAATAAAAGGATATATTGAAGCTGTGTACACGTAACAGCGGTTGTAAGATTTAGGCCATTCACTCAAGCTGATCAGAAGCAAAGATATACCTTCGTCCAGCGACCGTTAAATAGGAGCATGATCCACGACGGATCAATAGCGAGTTGACTTCTGATTACAAATGTAGACAGTGATATGGCAACAGAACGCTGTCCCCTCCCTCTGTCACTGTGTAATCAGTGTGTCAGTGTTTATGCAGTTGCATAC